ATATTTTTATTGGATAGTGCTAATCTAGAGTTTTAATTTTAATAGTTTTACATGTACCCCCCAAAGCTCCTAAATTCTTTTCTTCCTCCCATTAATAATAGTTAACATTTTACCTAATTAAAATTCTTCAGTCTGAATTAACAGTTTACCTGGATATAACATGGTATTGAACATTATTTTGCCTTCATATTGAAGATATTAATATTATTCCATTTTCTCCTGATAACAACCGTTGCTAATGAGAAACCTGTTTGTGGAATTATCGTACTTCTGTAGGTAATCTGGCTTCTAACTTTGGTGGCTTCTAAGATTTTCTCTTGATTTTTGGTATTCTAGAGTTTCACCGCAACCTGCCTAGATATGAATTTATCTTTATAACTGCTTGATGCTGGGAACAGGCCCTAAGCCTGTCATAAACAGGCCTTAAAGAAACTGGCCATAAACAAGATATCTATAGCACTATGACATACTCATGATGGTAGTGACGCACATTGCCGGAGGTTGTTGGTTTACTGGAGTAAGGGAAATAAATGCCTGACCCATCCAGGACAGAAGACTGCTTAAGGCGTTCCGGAACCACAAACAATAGCATGAGGGACCCGCACCCTGACGTGTTCCAGTTGCAGTAGATAAACGCGTCAGAGCCTGTTTCTTCCCACTAGTAAGAAATGCTTTGTTCCCTGTGAAGAATGCTTTTTGTTAATCTATAAACTGCAGTAATGATGATTATCGCTTGCTGTCAATAAATATGTGGGTCAAACTCTTTTCGAGGCTTTCAGCCAGGAATGCTGTAACCCCTGATGTTCCACCTTTTGCACTCTGTTTCTGTTTCTTAATTCCTTCAACGCCATCTAGGTTGGGGTCTCCATGACAGAGATGGTCTCAGCAGCTTGACACTATAAAGTTCACTTTTGATTTGATGTCTCAGGCCCTTCAGTGCTAAAAATTCTCAGCCATTGTTGTCTTCAAAAATTAGTTTTCTACCAATCTTTTTCTATAACTCTTTATATACACTGCAATCTCTCAATTAATCCTGTCTTTCAACTACTTTTTTATATTTTTACCTTTTTTCTGTGTTCTGTGTGAATTTTTAGTGCTATATTCAAACTCATTAATTCATTTATCAGTGGTATAAAAAGTAAAGTTTATCCCATCTATTCAGTTTTTTATATACCAACAACATAATTTCTTTTTCTTTCTTTTTATAAAGATAGAGTCTTGCTCTGTCACCTTGCCTGAGAGCTGTGATGCAGTCATAGATCACTGCAGCCTTTTAATTCCTGGGCTCAAGTAATCCTCCTGCCTTAGCCTCTCAAGCTACTGGGACTGCAGGTGTTAGTCACCAAGCCAGGCTTGACTTTTTTAAAATTTTATTTTTCCATAAATTATTGGGGTATGAGGTGGTATTTGGTTACATGAGTTATTTAGTGGGGAATTGTGAGATTCTGGTGCACCCATCACCCAAGCAGTATACACTGCACCATATTTGCTGTCTTTTATTCCTTGTCCAACCTCCCACTCTTCCCCTCTAGTCTCCAAAACCTAATTGTATCATTCTTATGCCTTTATGTCCTCATAGCCTAGGTCCCACATATCAGTGAGAACACATGATGTTTGGTTTTACATTCCTGAATTACTTCACTTAAAATAACAGTGTTTAATCTCATCCAGGTCACTGCAGATGTTGTTTATCCATTACTTTTTATGGCTGAGTAGTAGTCCACTGTGTATAAATATACCACAGTTTCTTTATCCACTGGTTGATTGATGGGCATTTGGGTTGGTTCCATGATATTGCTATTGTGAATTGTGCTGCTATAATATGTGTGTGCAAGTATCTTTTTCGAATAATGACTTCTTTTCCTCTGGGTAGATAGCCAGTAGTGGGATTGCTGGATCAAATGGTAGTTCTACTTTTAGTTCTTTAAGGAATCTCCACACTGTGTTCCATAGTGGCTGTACTAGTTTACATTCCCACCAGCAGTACAGAAGTGTTCCCTGATCACTGCATCCCCACCAACATCTACTGTTTTTTGATTCTCTGATTATGGCCATTCTTACAGAAGTAAGGTGGTATTGCATTGTGGTTTTGATTTGCATTTACCTGATCATCAGTGATGTTGAGCATTTTTTTCGTATGTTTGTTGGCCATATAAAGTATTCTTTTTCTGAGAATTGTCTGTTCATTTCCTTAGCCCACTTTTTGATGGCATTGATTGCTTTTTTCTTTCTGATTTGATTTTGCTGTAGATTCTGGATATTATAGATTGTGAAGATTTTCTCCCACTCTGTGAGTTGTCTCTTTTCTGCTGACTGTTCCTTTGCTGTGCCAAAGCTCTTTAGTTTAATTAGGTCCCAGCTATTTATCTTTGTTTTTATTGCAATTGCTTTTGGGTTTTTGGTCATGAAATCCTTGCCTAAGCCAGGGTCTAGAAGGGCTTTTTCAATGTTATCTTCTGGAATTTTTATAGTTTCAGGACTTAGGTTAAAGTCCTTAATCCATCTTGAGTTGATTTTTGGATAAAGTGAGAGATGAGGATCCAGTTTCATTCTCCTACATGTGGCTAGCCAATTATCCCAGCACCATTTGTTGAAAAAGGTGTCCTTTCCCCACTTTATGTTTTTGTTTTTTGTTTTGTTTTGTTTTGTTTTGCTTTGCTTTGCTTTGTCAAAGATAAGTTGGCTGTAAGTATTTGGATTTACTTCTGGGCAGCTTGACATTTTTAATTTCTAAGAGTTCTAGCTAGTTCTTTACTACATTGACTTTTTCTTTTACAGTCTCTTTTGTTTCAGTTTTTAAGCTCTCTTTAATTGGAAAGTATCCCTTTATTTACTTCTCTGAGCATCCTAAAAAGGCTTAAAAATTTCTCGCCGGGTGTGGTGGCTCAAGCCTGTAATCCCAGCACTTTGGGAGGCCAAGGCGGGTGGATCACGAGGTCAAGAGATCGAGACCATCCTAGTCAACATGGTGAAACCCCGTCTCTACTAAAAATACAAAAAATCAGCTGGGCATGGTGGCGCGTGCCTGTAATCCCAGCTACTCAGGAGGCTGAGGCAGGAGAATTGCCTGAACCCAGGAGGTGGAGGTTGCGGTGAGCCGAGATTGCGCCATTGCACTCCAGCCGGGGTAACAAGAGCAAAACTCAGTCTCAAAAAAAAAAAAAATTTCACTCAATCATTGGAATACCGTGCAGCAGTTAAAAAGAATGACATAATCCCATGAGTATTAATATCAAATGATCTCTAAACATGTTATTAGTTGAAAGAGGCTAGGTAAGTAATAGTATGTATAGAATACTACCATTTATATACATAAATAAATATATATGTGGGTATATATATTTATGTTTGTATACGCAAAAACTATCTCAGAAAGGATAGCAAGAAATGGGTAACAGTGATTGCCTGTGGGGAGATAAACTGGGTGGCTAGGTGACCGAGGTGGAGATAGACTTACTTTTCACTGTTTACCTTTTTTGTACCTTTGAATTTTGTACTATGGGCATCCATTACCTAGTCAAAAATAAATAATTTATTTTTTAAAATAAAGTCTTTGTTGAACTGCTCCATAAAACTAAATTCATCCAGAGAAATGCATGTTCTGGTGGCTGATTATATATCTTTATAAATTTAGAATTTGGACTATAGGTTTCTTTTGAGTAGAAAAAGTTTTTAATTTTTTTCTCTCTTCTCCTATTTAATGGTTTCAGAGTTGCTCCCACTTAGCCTTCTGGGCCCCCAGTCCACAACTAGGCCTTAAAATGACATTTCAGGGCTACAGTTTAATAATGACATTGGAAATGTCATAGATACACATTAAGTCACTGACTCAGCAAGTGGCTTCATTCAATAGCTACTGATGAGGCTGTGTCTTTATCAGCTAAAATCTATAGCTTCAGGTAGTGATGAGCTTTTTTCTCTTTTCAGCCTTTCATAAATAAGACAGATATTTTAACCAAACCCCTGGCTTCATGTAGTGATTCTGGCTGTGGTTCCTGCCTTGCATGAAACACTTAAGCACTTTTTAATCCTTTTACCTGACGGGAGCAAAACTACTAGATGTCAGTGCTAGACTGAAAGCCAGCTGGTCTGTCGTTTCAACCCTGTTTAAAACTTTGTGTCCATGTTTCATTTCTGGCCCACAAAGATGTTTATGTTGTTTCAGAACCTGCTATATTTTTTGTGCTATTTAATTTATTTTGTTCTATGTGTTTGGAGCATAGGAGTTAGATCAAAATACAGTATTTACTTTGACTAGTAATTTCCATATTTCTTTTTATAGAAAATTAAAACTAATAATTATAAAAGTAATATAATCTCATTACATAGAAAAAATATAAAATTACTCATAATCCACCCATTCTAATTACTGTTAGCATTTTAAAATATTTCCTTTTAATCTTTTTCTTCTGTATCATCTCCTATTTGTATAATTCTTATCACAATTTTAACCTATATTATGCCAAGCATTTGCCTACATTGCTATGTAGTCTCTATGACCATCATTTTAATGACTGAATATTAATCATCAAACTGCTCAATTATAATTCACTTCCCACATTATTGATAATTAAGGAACTTCCAATGATGCTGCAAAGAAATTGTGCATGTACTTTTTTCTCTTAACAGTTTGTATTTGTGAGGTGGTGGGGTAGGAGTGAGAGGTGATAAGCAGTGGGGTTGCCATCATTTTACACAAATCGTTAGCACAAAGGCATTATAGGACTAGCATAATACATGGCTGAGGTTCATAATGATGACACTAATATATGAAAAGGTAAAGTTATATAGAAGTTAAAAATGTATTTCAGAAAGATTGCAATCCAAAATAGCTAACAGTTTTGTAATTAAAGGATTAGTTTTATAAGGGATTAGATTCACAATTCACAATGTAGATCATCTAGCACTGCTAGATAAGGCATTACACATTTTCACTAACTTCCAAAACAGAACATTTGGGGCCACACTGATAAAGTTCACTTTTTCACTATAATACTAACCTGATATTATTTACACAGTCTTCATGAGCTTCAGAAAGTGTTTTTATGTGCTTTGAAGATATAGGGTCAAAAAGCAGAACTTCAGTTTGTTCACAAGCAACTGTCAGCACTGACCTGAAAGCAAATGACACATTTATCTTGTTTAGTTTTCTAGCATTCGCTAGTTATTGATGTTCACTTATTTATAATCATACAAGCTATAGGTAAATAACTTTTTTTGCCCATATTAGTTGCAAATATTTAAAAGATTGATACTAACCACAGTTGGCAATAGTAGTAGGAGATGGTACTCTCATACATTATAGTGGAGTATAATCTGGTATAGCATATGTTTGGATGGCACATCTAAAGTATCAAAATTTAAAATGGGCATATGTGTTTTGACTCAGCAATTTTTTCTGGGAATTTAATTTAGAGAACTAATCACAAATACAAAGAAACATATAAAGATATGCTTCATTGTGAAATGGAGAAATTCAAAGTATCTTAAATGTACATGACAGACAAGAGTGATTGATTATATAATCTATGGTACATAATCCTTTGAAATACTGTATAGAATTTAAAAAGAAAGGGTTAGCTTTAGATGAATATGAAAGAACTCCGAAACATATTTTCAAATAAAAAAGTTGGTTGCCAAAAAGTGTACATTGATGAGACAACTTAGGGGATAAAATCATATACAACCAAATTATGTATTTCTTCATCACTCTCTATAAAATATACTGGAAAATATCTGGCATATAACCTACAAAATATACTGGAAAATAACTGGCATATAACATATTAGAATTAAGCATAGTCAAACTTATCAGTCTTCTCCTTTGTGGTTTTTTAGGTTTGTCTCTTGTTTTAGTCCTTCCCTACTGCAAAATTGTATTTTCATAAAACTTTTACAAACCTTGTTTTGATTTGTGGAAATCTGTTGAATTTTATTTATTTTGATTAATTATTAGTTTTTTGTAAGCCCTGCTCTTTCAGATTCATTTCATTTCTAGCAAATGAAATCCTGACTATTTTATACACCTAAGATGAATGTAAATAAGATAGAATTTTAATAGCCAGGGTCTCTGTCAGCAGTGGTGCAATCTCAGTTCATTGCAACCTCCACCTCCCGGGTTCAAGGGATTCTCCTGACTCAGTCTCCTGAGTAACTGGGATTACAGGCACCCACCACCACACCCGACTAATTTTTGTATGTTTAATGGAGACAGGGTTTCACTATGTTGCCCAGGCTAGTCTCAAACCTCAAATGATCTGCCTGCCGCCTCCCAAAGTGCTGGGATTACAGGTATGAGGCACCACACAAAGCCAACGTCTGGGATATTTTTAATCTTAAATGAACATTGTATAAAAAGGATCTGTAAAACTGATAGTTATTGTTTTGTTTGGCTCAAATTACAGTATATTTTTTATATGGTATGATATGTATCTTTTAAAAGATACATATTTGTTTAAAAGATACATATTGCTTTGTTTATTGCTGGTATACAATTCGTTCCAGTATCAAGGCTGATCTTATTTATATTGGTTTGTAATGCCATCTTTACTACATGTAAGTTTTGTTCTTGGACTATATATTGGTATTCTATGCAACACCACACTATCTTAATTTCTAGAAGGCTTATAGTATATTTGCTATGTGGCAAAGCAAGACCCCTTCATTTGCTTTACAAACACTTTTTCTTGGCTAATATTATGCTTTATCTTCAAGTAAATTTTATATATACCATGTCAAGTTCTGCTAAAACAAAACTTTGTTGAAATTTTATTGGAATGCACTGACTGTACAGATTACTTGGGTAGAATTTATATGATACAATATTGATTTACCTCATACAGTAATATGTACATTTTTCCACATAGTATCTGAGTAAATCTTGGATCTTTGACCATCCTTATATACTCAGAATCAGTGTATCAATTTATGTACACATACACACACACACAAAATCCAGGTGCAGATGTTAATTGAGATTATATTAAATCTATTAATACCAAAAAGGTTTGTTTTGTTTTGTTTTTTGAGATGGAGTTTTGCTCTTGTTGCCCAAGCTGGAGTGCAATGGCGCAATCTCGGCTCACTGCAACCTCTGCTTCCCGGGTTCAAGCGATTCTCCTGCCTCAGCCTCCTGAATAGCTGCGATTACAGGCAATTGCCACCACGCCCAACCAATTTTTCATAATTTTAGTAGAAACGGGGTTTCACCATGTTAGCCAGGCTGGTCTCGAACTCTTGACCTCAGGTGATCCGCCCACCTCAGCCTCCTAAAGTGCTGGGCTACAGGTGTGAGTCACCATGCCCAACCCAAAAAGTTTTAATGGAACTGATATCTTTATAATATGGAGTCTTCCAATCCATGGACTTAATTAATATATCTCCATTTATTTAAATTATCTGTAATTCTCTCAGTAATATTGTATAGTTTCCTCCATATGGCCCATACCTACCTCCTGTTGGACTTATCCCTGGGCACTTGATTTTTTTTTATGTTTTTATAAATGTTCTTTAAAAATTTTTGCTTATACTGGACACAGCGGCTTATTCTTATAATCCCAGGATTTTGAGAGACCAAGGAGGAAAGATTACTTGAGCTCAGGAGTCTGAGACCAGCCTGTGCAACACTATTCTAATATTTAAATTTCTTGTCTCTACAAAAAATTTAAAAATTAGCTAGGTATAGGCATAGTGGTGCACACCTGTAGTCCCAGCTATTTGGGTGGCTGAGGCGGGAGGATCAACTGAGTCAGGGAAGTTGAGGCTGCAGTGAGCTATGATCATGCCATTGCACTCCAGCCTGGCTGACAGAGACCCTGTCTCAAAAAAAATTTTTTTGACTGTGTTTATTGCTGATATATAGAAATGTAAATGATTTTTAAAATACTGATTATCTATCAATCTTATTATTCTATTATTTGGGGTTTCCTTTGTTGATAATAGTGCCATCTACAAACAATTGCTTTGTTCTTTTTTTTTTTTTTTGAGACAGAATTTTGCTTGTTACCCAGGTTGGAGTGCAATGGCACGATCTCAGCTCACTGCAATCTCTGCCTCCTGGGTTCAAGTGATTCTACTGCTTCAGCTTCCTGGATAGCTGGAACTACAGGCGTGTACCACAACGCCTGGCTAATTTTTGTATTATTAGTAGAGACAGGGTTTCACCATATTGGCCAGGCTGGTTCTGAACTCCTGACCTCAGTTGATCCACCCGCCTCAGCCTCCTAAAGTGCTGGGATTACAAGCTTGAGCCACCACACCCAGCCTGTTCTTTTTAAAAACCTTTTTCCTTCTCTTTGCCCTTGTTATTATACTGACTAGGACTTTCAGAACAGTGTTAAGTAGAAATGTTAATAACAGGTACTCATCTTGTTCCTGATATTCAAGAATATATTCAACATTTCATCATTAAGTACAATGTTTGCTATAGGTTTTTTGGGCAGATTCCTACTATTAGATTAAGGAAAGTTCTGTTTCAATTTTGCTAATAAGCTTTGTTTTCATGAATATATGTCAAACTGTGTAAGATATTTTTCAGCACTTATTGAGATATTCCTATATTTTTCCTTTAATATATTAATGTAGTTATTTACATTAATTTATTTTCTAATTTCAAATCAGTCTTTCATTTATACCTCATTGCTAGATTCAGTCGGCTAATATTTGGTTTATGATTTTTCTGTCTTTATTCTTCAGTGAAATTGCATGGTAATTTTGCTTTCTTGTGCTATTCATGTCAGATTTTGGTATAAAGGGTATGCTAACATCACAGAATGAGTTAAGACTGGCCCTTGTTATTTTATACATTGGAATCGTTTCTGTGAATTGGGATTATTTATTTCCTGTAAATTTGGTAGTATTCACCTATAAAACCTAACTACTGCAGTATTATTGGTTATGGTACTACTTGGGCTCTCTAATCTTTTACTAATGTCAGTTTTGGTAACTTCTACTTTATAGGAATTAGCCTATTCTTTTGAACTTTAAAACTGTATTGGCATGAAGTTGTTCACAGTATCTTCTGTTTCTATTTCTAAACTTTTAAGGCCGAATGCAGTGGCTCACACCTATAATTCCAGCACTTTCAGTGGCTGAGGCAGGAAGATCTCTTAAGCCCAGGAGTTCAAGACCAGCCTGGCAGCATAGCAAGAGGCAGGAGAATTGCTTGAACCCAGGAGGCAGAGATTGCAGTGAGCCAAGATCATGCCATTGCACTCCAGCCTGGGCAACAGAGCGAGACTCTATCTCAAAAACAAAACAAAACAAAACCAAAAAACTACACAAACCATGTGAATGCATCACAATGAATTAAGCCATTCTCCCAAAGGGTGCACACTCATGTAACTATCACATAGGTCAAGAAACATAATGTTACCAATAAAGCCCACTGTCTCTCTTCTTCATTGCTAATCCCTCCTTACTCCTAATACCACCATCCCAACTTCTAATATTGCCTTAAACATTTTTTAAATGATAGAGTATGTATTCTTTCATAGTTGGTTTATTTTACACAATGTTATGTTTTATGAGATTAACCCATGTGGCTGCTAGAGCTCTTGCATTCTCGAGTGTTATTTCACTGTATAAATACACTATAATTTATACATTCTACTACTGGCAGACAGTTGTGTTCCTTCTACTTATGAATAAGACTGCTTTAAATTCTGGTACATGTCTTGTGATACAATTATTTATACATTCTTGTTAGCCAGATACTAGGAATAAAATAGAATTATAGGGTACATTAGTTTGATCATTTATAAGATAGAGACAGGCTGGGCGCAGTGGCTCACGCCTGTAATCCCAGCACTTTGGGAGGCTGAGGTGGGTGGATCACACGGTCAGGAGATTTGAGACCATCCTGGCCAACATGGTGAAACCCCATCTCTACTCAAATACAAAAAAGTTAGCCAGGAATGGTGGCACGTACCTGTAGTCCCGGGTACTTGGGAGGCTGAGGCATGGGAATTGCTTGAAGCCAGCAGGCAGAGGTTGCAGTGAGCCAAGATGGCACCACTGCACTCCAGCCTGGTGACAGAGCAAGACTCCGTCTCAAAAAAAAAAAAAAAAAAAAAAAAAAAAAGATAGTGACAAAGGCCAGGCGCAGTGGCTAACG